TATCTTTTTTTAATTATAATATAAATATATTATTTTAATATATTTAAATAATTTTTTAACATATTTGTATTCTTTATATTTCTAAATATATACAGATATATTTTATTTTAATTGGTTGATTTTATTGTATTATAAGTAAAAATAAAAATAAAATTTATTCCGATTTTTTTTGGACCAGACTATATATAGTATATATAATAGATTATTGATATATTGATTATAAATTATATTTAATAAAATTATATATTTAATACTTATTTGTTAAAAAATAATAATAAATAAATAAATAAATAATTTTATTTATATTTGATGAAAATTATTATAAAAATATATATATATAAATTTTTTGTAAAATAACTAATTAAAAATTCTAAAAAACTTTTTTGTTTTTATTAAATATTATTATTATTATTATGATTAATATTTTGGATTTATTTTTATAAAAAAAATTAAATAAATAAATAAATATATATATATATTATTATTTTGAATTTGAGAATTTTTCTAAAGTTTAATTAATTTTTGATTGCTTTCTTTATAATAACAAACAGAAATACTTTAAAAATTTTGATATATTTTTTAAATTATTATTTGAAAAATTCATTAATTTTTTTATTAATATTAAATTAATTCTGCTTGATTCAATATCTTTAGATAAATTTAATCTTTTTTTAACTATTGATATGTTTTTTAATTTTCTGATAATAACAGGATTAATATAATAATAATAATTTTAAAATAATTGCTTAATTATAAATTTTTTTTTTTTTTTTAAAACAAATTTAATATTACTTTTAATATAATAATAGATTAAATATGTTTAGTAGTGACATTATATTTCATATGATCCATATGATATAATGACATAACCATATTTATTGTATGCACATTTGTATTATTGAAAAATACATTCAATAAAAAAAATATATAATGATAAATGATGATCGTCATTTAGTGTTAAAAACGACTTGTCCATTGGTAATTGTCACATTCTTTTATTATATTATTTATCACATCACAGTAACTAATATAATAAAAGGATGTGAGTCTTACCAATGGACAAGTCGTTTAACAACACTACTGCAAAATGATCGGGTTTGAAGGTACATTGTCAATTGGGAATTTGGATATGTTCAATTGACAACACCGTATACCATAGTCGCGGTGTATAGTACCCCCTGTCATAAATATTTTAATATATACAGCATATATAAATATACTGTATATATACATTATTCATGACAGGGGGTACTATACACCGCGACATGCGATCTCGAGATTAACACGTGAAACTAGACCTGCTATTCACATGATATACTAATTTCCGAAGCCTTTTCTACTACAGTAATCTAATCTCTTGTAGATTTCAATGGCGTTGATTTTCAAATAAGTGATCTGATAGGTCTTGGATTTAAAATCTCTTTTCACTCCCAAACACGAATTAATCAGCTGAATTTCTTTTTCATCCTTCTCATCCTTCTGATCAAGACTATAGCATGCCCCAAAGTAAAACCAATTTCTTTTCCACCATAAATGAACAAATAGCCTTTCTGTTGATTTAAAGTTACGTGAATCATCATCGATGAGAAAACA